ACTACTTGCTTAGTAAAAGTTTAAGGTGAGTAAGGTTGTTATTATTGTTTAGTTGCTAAGTCGTGTCTATCCTTTTGTGGCCCCATGAACTGTAGCCAGCCAGGCTCTTCTGTCCGTGGGATTTTCCAAGTAAGAATACTAGAATGGGTTGCCATTTCCTTCTCCAGGGGATCTTCTGGACCCAGGGATCAAACTTGGGTCTTCTGCACTGGCAGGTGGATTCTTTACCACTGAGCCACCAGGGAAGCCAAGTGAATTAGTACTCTTCTGCAAAGATCATTAATTCTGCTAAATACTGAGGGAAAAAACCAACCCAGTGATCAACCAAATTAACTATGACTAAATGTCAGTGCTATCCTTAATTATCAAGGAATCCTTGGAAGAATGACAGACCATTTATCTGTCAAGCTCGGATAATTTTAAATTTCTTAAGGCAATTAAAAGCAAAGTTTTAGAAAACCTTTGAGGAACATGATATACTTTCCATAACCAATTTTCCAAGGAAATTCTGCATGCAATTTTCATGTATGTGTTTGATACATCTAAATTAGAAATATAAAAAGATAGGGTAAACATACTATACAATAGAGTTATTCCTTAAAGTACAACATTCAACTTTTAACTTAAAATTTTAAGGAATTTTACCAAACATTTAATTTTTGTTATATCTAAATAGAAAAATAAAATTCTTGATTTAAAGTGTCTAAAATACATTAAGTATAAAAATTAAGGTGCAGAATGGTAATAACCCATAGAACAAAATACATAGAGATATAGATGTAGATATAAATGTTGATGGGCATAGAAAATTTCTGGAAGGATATAAAAATGTAAACAACTACAATATCTTGGAAAGCAGGTGGGTAGTGAGGTAAGGGATTTTTACTTTATACTTCACACTTTTTTTAAATAATAAAAATGTAAAGTCATTGACTTTTTTTAAAGTACAAAATTAAACTAAAATTGCAATGTTTTTCTTAGTTATCCTCTACCTTGACTTGCATGATCTTCATGGTAGTACGGCTAGAATTCAGAAGAAACCAAAGAAAACAGGCTAAAAGGTAGTCAGTAAAATTAAAAAAGATTTAAGTAAATTGTACTCATCACTATTCACCACTCAAATCATGTGAAACTGAACTAAAGGAAATTCTTTTCTATTAATATATACACTTCCTGGGATTCCTGCTACTTCTATTATTTCTTGTTGATGATGCTTTGTGGCAAAATGAAGAATAACATTGTTTCTTCAAACTATAATAACGGTCTTTAAGCAAGACTTTGAGCATTGTGCATGGCCAGTGATGGACACACAGAATGAATATCACAGAATCATTTAGTCAAGTATTTGCAGTTTACAAATTAGCTCTTAGGGGATTAAAAAAAAAAATGGTCTGCAGCTGCTGCATCGTGGGTTAGTGACAGAGCTGGGACGAGTGGTGTCCAAGCTAGTATTACCACCTCTGCCCAGTCAGCTTTTTAAGCTGAACGGAAGGAGTTTCTACTTCATTTTTCCTGCATTAAACCAAGCTTGGAAGCGCTCCTTCCCATGGCAGCACAAACTCTGCCGGTGTCCTCTCACTGCGCTGCTCGTGGAGGGGAGCTGGGACGTGTACCTCGCCTTCCCAGAATCACAGGCATGAAGGAGTCCTCCCTCCAGCCTCACTTTGGGTGGAGGCTGCAGCGCCGAGTGGAAGCTCTGACCCCGTTCTGGCTGACGTAAGGCGCTCCTCCCACGTCTCTTCCCGCCGACGGGCTCCATTGTAACAGCACTTCCGGGTCAGAGGGTGTTTGAATGTGGATGCGGAGATGATAATACAACTGCTCTTAGCCAAGTACAGATTCAAAGTTTCAGGTCTGGACTTGGAAGCTCTGGTCCAACTTCCTGGCACCCTTGCCCCACTCCATCTAGTACCAGTGGTAGACCAGACCCTGCTGGCACTAATCCTAGAATGGGAAATTATTTTCTCCCCAGACAGCCTGTACCATAACAGAGTCTAAGGGCTAGAAAACTCTCCCTTATATCTTCTAAATCAAAATCTAACTATCTAAGTCCTATTACTGATTCCCTTATTGGTACTCACAGAGTTATGTGAAGTGTTAGCTGCTTAGTTGTGTCCGACTCTTTGTGACTCAATGGACTGTAGTCCACCAGGCTGCTCCATTCATGGGATTTCCCAGGCAAGAATACTAGAGTGAGTTTCGATTTCCTTCTCCAGGGTATCTTCCTGACCCAGGGATTGAACCCAGGTCTCCCAAGTTACTGGCAGATTCTTTACCATCTGCACCAACAGGGAAGCCCTACTCACAGTTAATCCTTTTATAGAAAAAGCCACATATTCACCCATTCCTTGAAGACAGTCATCATGAACACCTGAGTCTTACCCTTTATCTTGTAGACATCTTGTAAACATCCCTAGAGTTTTTTCAATTAGACTGTATGATTGGTTTTAAAACCCTTAAACAGTCACCCTCCACTTGGACAAGGCCAAGACAGTCAAGCCATGGTCAGTATGAAGTCTGAGTGGGTGGATAGAAGAACAAGAGTTTTCATTTAGGTTGCTTTCCTCTTCTGTTTTCTCAAAAGCCATGGAGTGGGACTTTAGAATTGATCATGTTCTTGGCTTCCCAGGTGGTGCAGTGGTAAAGAATCTGCCTGCCAATGCAGGAGACGCAAGAGATGCGGGTTTGATCCCTGGATTGGGAAGATCCCCTGGAGTAGGAAATGACAACCCACTCCAGTATTCTTGCCTGGAAAGATTCCATGGACAGAGGTGCCTGGTGGGCTACAGTCCAGGGGGTTGCGAAGAGTCAGACATAACTGAGCACGCACGTATTGTCCTTCTTCATCAGACGGCAGGAACAGCAAGTAGAGAGAGCAGAAGGGGCTTGTCCAAGTGGGCCCAGCTGCTAAGTGACAGAACCAGACCTGGAGCCAAGAGGCAGTGTCATGAAGTGCAAATGTCACTGGACCACAGAATAGAAGCTGTGATACTTGTGGTGGACCCATCTCTCCCAGTCATTTGGACTTGGCAAGATAGCTCAGTATTCAGAAGCTCACTTTGCCATTATTATAATTATAATTTCTGCCTAGCCCGAGGTCAGACTATGGCTTTGGTGAGAATGAAGCATTATAGATGACTGATTATTGAGTTCCTCCTGAGCTAAGTGCTTTACCTACATAATCTTATTTAGCTCTCATAATTCATTCTCCTAAGTCTGCAAGACAAAGAGAAATTGTCTCCATTTTGCAGAAGAAAAAAACTGAGGCTTGGAGAGATGAAGTAATGTGGCTAGGGTCACATAGCTATAAATAGGAAGCCAAGATCCAAAAATAGGCTCTGATTCTAAAAAACACTGTTCCTTACATACTGTCTTCTAATGATACTGTTTAGGCAAGTACCTGCTGAAATGGGAGGAAACTGTTGTTGCTATTATGGTTATGACAACACAGTATCTGTAACTCCTCCAATAATTAATATTTAACATTATTAATAGTGTATCTGAAATTTAAATGGTATATAAAAATTGGATTTTTCAGACCCATCTTCCAAATAATCTGGATAGGTCTTAAACATTAATAGACCAAAGAAAAGAAGTCATGTCCAGTAAAGCACAGTGGCCACCAGTGCAGTGGGATCTACTATCTGTCTGACCTGGGTTTAAATTCTGCCTGTGCCACACACTACCCTGTGACATTGCGTGTACTGAAAAAGGGGGCTGTGGCTCAGACAGTAAAGAATCTGCCAGCAATGTGGGTGACCCAGGTTCAATCCTTGGGTCAGGAAGATCCCTGGAGAAGGGAACGGTTACCCACTCCAGTATTCTTGCCTGGCGTGACATTGGACATATTATTATTAATTTCTCTATGCCTTGAGGTCTTCGTCTGGAAAATGGGAGTATTGAGAGCACCTACTGCACGTGATTGGGATGAGTGTTCAATGAGAAAAAACAGTCTTAAAAACACCTGGCAGATAGTAAGTAACTAATTAATGTTGCCTATTATTATTTCATTGGAAAAGACCCCGATGCTAGGAAAGATTGAAGACAGGAGGTGAAGGGGACAACAGAGGAGGACTTGTTTGGATGGCATCACCAACTTAATGGACTTGAGTTTGACTAAGCTCCGAGTTGGTGATGGACAGGGAAGTCTGGTGTGCTGTAGTCCATGGAGTCAGGAAGAGTCAGATATGACTGAGCAACTGAACTGAACTGATCATTATTTCATCCTGAAGTCCCATCATACCTAGCTTTTGCAATAATTTAATGGAAGCCATGCATTTAACTGGATACCAGTCACTCTGATAGAGAGTCAGACATGACTGAGTGACTTTCATTTTCACTTTCAGGGGAGGGAAAAATAGAGTGCTACTAATCAATGGGAATAATGTTTCAGCTAGTGAAATGAATAAGCTCTAGAGAGCTGCTCTAGGCACTGTACCTCTAGGCAACAACAATGCTTTGGAGGTTTGTGCCCAGTTCTTTCAGGAAAAGCCATGTTTTCCTCTGATCTCTTGGGATTCTGGAAACTGGGACCAGTGTATATTTTAAGTATGAAACAGTGATTCAAACATGGAAAAGCTTTATAAGGAATTCTGGTACATGAAGAAGTTTGATTCAAAAAGAGATGAAGCCCTGAGACTCTGGAGTGTGAGCACTGACTCCAGAGAACTCACCCTAGGGAGGATGGAACAGCGAGAACGCACACAAAGGAGACCACCTGCACACCAGACCTGGCATCACCCAACCACCGGTAGCACCCTGTGCAAGGAGGATGGAATAGCGAGAACTCACACAAAGGAGGCCGCCTGCACACCAGACCTGGCATCACCCCACCACCGGTAGCACCCTGTGCAAGGAGGATGGAACAGCGAGAACGCACACAAAGGAGACCACCTGCACACCAGACCTGGCATCACCCAACCACCGGTAGCACCCTGTGCAAGGAGGATGGAATAGCGAGAACTCACACAAAGGAGGCCGCCTGCACACCAGACCTGGCATCACCCCACCACCGGTAGCACCCTGTGCAAGGAGGATGGAACAGCGAGAACGCACACAAAGGAGGCCGCCTGAACACCAGACCTGGCATCACCCCACCACCGGTAGCACCCTGTGCAAGGAGGATGGAACAGCGAGAACGCACACAAAGGAGACCGCCTGAACACCAGACCTGGCATCACCCAACCACCGGTAGCACCCTGTGCAGGACACCCATCTACACAACAAGGGAAACAAAAATACAAACTCCGATATCAGCAGACAGAATGACCCCCTCACTCAGCCTCGCCCATCAGAGGGAACACAAGCAAACAAAAACTCAGCACAAATCTCACCCTATACAGGCTCACACAAACCACCGGGCCAACCTTAGCAGGGCAGAAACAAAGTGGAAGAAAGAATTCAACCTTGACCTGGAAAAGGAGACCTCAAACACAATGAGTTTTAAGAAAATAATGAAAAGACAGAGAAATACTACACAAATGAAGGAACAAACTAGAAACACAGAAGTCCAAATACATGAAGAGGAAATAAGCAAACTACCTGAAAAAGAATTCAGAATAATGAATTAAAGATGATCAAAAACCTTGAAAACAAAGTGGAGAAAATGTAAGAATCAGTTAACAAAGACCTAGAAGAATTAAAGAATAAACATACAGAGACAAACAACACAGTTACTGAAATTAAAAACACTCTAGAAGGAATCAATAGCAGAATATCTGAAGCATAAGAACAAATCAGTGAGCTGGAAGGTAAAATGGTGGAAATAAGTTCTGAAGAGCAGAATAAAGTAAAAAGAATGAAAAGAACTGAGGATAGTCTCAGGGACTTCTGGGACAGTATCAAACACACCAACATGCAAATTATAGGGGGTCCCAGAAGAAGAAGAGAAAAAGAAAGGGTATGAGAAAAATTTTTAAGAGATTATAGTTCAAAATTTTCCCAACGTGGAAAAGGAAATAGTCAATCAAGTCCAAGAAGCACAAAGAATCCCATAGAGGATAAACCCAAGGAGAAACATATGCCAAGACACATACTAATCAAACTAACAAAGACTAAACACAAAGAAAGAATATTAAAAGCAGCAAGGGAGAAGCAACAAATAGCATACAAGGGAAACCCCATATGCTTAACAGCTGATCTTTCAGCAGAAACTCAGCAGGCCAGAAGGGAATGGCAGGATATATTTAAAGTTCTGAAAGGGGAAAATCTACAGCCAAGATTACTGTACCCAGCAAGTATCTCATTCAAAATTGATGGAGAAATAAAAAGCTTTTCAGAAAAGCAAAAATTAAAAGAATTCAGTATACCAAACCAGCTTTACAAAAATGTTAAAGGGACTTATATAGTCAAGAAATACAAGAGAAGAAAAAAGATCTACAAAATCAACCCCAAACGATTAGGAAAATATGGTAACCCAAGGACAAAAGAGCAGATAAAACCAAGGAAGGTCTTGGAACGCAGGAATGGAAAAACCAGACCCTTCTTGTCCTTCCCTCCCCCAGCTGTAACTACTAATGGAACAGGATGACCTGTCTCTCCTCCTGCCCCATGGGGAGGAGGTGCCTGCTCTAGTCTTCCCCCGCACGTTATACATGCCGCATCCAACCAGCAAATGGCCCACAGGACTCCTGTCCTACTCCTCGTACCCTTGGCATAAAAGTGGACTAAGGACAACTGTTCAACATTGGTTCTCCCTTGAGCTGGCCTGTTGTTCTAACAGTGTCTCTCACTCTAATAAACTTTATTTCCCTCTCATTCTGTCTCATGTCTGGAAATTCTTTTCCAATCCATGCCTGGACCCTGACAGAAAATGGCAATAGGATCATATATATCAATAATTACTTTAAATGTAAATGGATTAAATGCTCCAATCAAAAGACACAGACTGGCTGAATGGATACAAAAACAAGAGCCATATTTATGCTGTCTACAAGAAACCTACTTCAGACCTAAAGACACATACAGACTGAAAGCAAGAGCATGGAAAAATACATTCCATGCAAATGGGCAGCAAAGGAAAGCTGGAGTAGCAATCCTCATATCAGACAAAATAGACCTTAAAATAAAGATTACAAGAGATAAGGAAGGACACTACATAATGATCAAGGGATCAATCCAAGAGGAAGACATAACAATTGTAAATATCCATGCACCCAACATAGGAACACCTCAATACATAAGACAAACACTAACAGACATAACAGGAGAAACATAACAGGAGAAATTGACAGTAACACAATAATAGTAGGAGAAAAAAAAATAATTATAATAGTAGGAGACTTTAACACACCCCTCACACCAATGGACAGATCATCAAAACAGAAAATTAATAAGGAAACACAAGTCTTAAATGATACATTAGATGAGATGGATCTCATTGCTATCTTCAGGACATTCCATCCAAATGCAGAAGAATACACCTTCTTCTCAAGTGCACATGGAACATTCTCCAGGATAGACCACATCTTGGGTGGTCTATGAATTATGAATATGGGTGGTCCATATGAATTATGAATCATAATTCATATGGAAACACAAAAGACCCGAATGGCCAAAGCAGTCTTGAGAAAGAAGAATGGAACTGGAGGAATCAACCTTTCTGACTTCAGATTATACTACAAAGCTACAGTTATCAAGACAGCATGGTACTGGCACAAAAACAGAAATATAGACCAATGGAACAAAATAGAAAGCCCAGAAATAAACCCATGCACCTATGGGTACCCTATTTGGACAAAGGAGGCATGAATATACAATAGGGCAAAGACAGCCTCTTCCATAAATGGTGCTGCGAAAACTGGACAGCTACATGCAAAAGAATGAAATTAGAACTTAGAACTTAGAAATTAGAACTTCCTAATATCATACACAAAGATAAACTCAAAATGGATTAAAGACCTAAATGTAAGACAAGAAACTATAAAACTCATAGAGGAAAACATTAGGCAGAACACTCAATGACATAAATCAAAGCAAGATCCTCTATGACCTACCTCCTAGAGTAATGGAAATAAAAACAAAAGTAGACAAGTGGGACCTGATTAAACTTAAAAACTTTTTCACAGCAAAGGAAACTATAAACAAGGTGAAAAGACAACCCTCAGAATGGGAGAAAATAATAGCAAATGAAACAACTGGCAAAGGATTAATTTCCAAAATGTACAAGCAGTTCATACAACTCAATACCAGAATAACAAACAACCCAATCAAAAAGTGGGAGAAAGACCTAAACAGACATTTCTCCAAAGAAGACATACAGATGGTTAACAAACACATGAAAAGATGCTCAACATCACTCATATTAGAGAAATGCAAATCAAAAGCACAGTGAGATATTACCTCACACCAGTCAGAATGGCCATCATCAAAAAGTCTACAAACAATAAGTGCTGGAGAGGGTGTGGAGAAAAGGGAATGCTCTTGCACTGTTGGTGGGAATGTAAATTGATACAGCCACTATGGAAGACGGTACGGAGATTTCTTAAAAAACTAGGAATTAAACCACCATGTGACCCAGCAATCCCACTCCTAGGTGTATACCCTGAGGAAACCAAAATTGAAAAAGACACATGTATCCCATTGTTCATTGCAATACTATTTACAATAGCTAGAACATGGAAGCAACCTGGATGTCCATCGACAGATGAATGGATAAAGAAGTTGTGGTACATATACACAATGGAATATTACTTGGCCACAAAAAGGAACCCATTTGAGTCAGTTCTGATGAGGTGGATGAACCTAGAACCTATTATACTATATTATACAGAGTGAAGTGAGTAAAAAAGAGAAAGATAAATATCATATTCTAACACATATGTACAGAATCTAGAAAAATGGTACTGAAGAATTAGTCACAGGGCAGCAATGGAGAAACAGACATAGAGAATAGACTTATGGACATGGGGAGAGGGGAGGAGAGGGTGAGATGTATGGTAAGAGTAACATGGAAACTTATGTTACCATATGCAAAATAGATAGCAGTGGGAAATTTCTGTGTGGCTTAGGAAACTCAAACAGGAGCTCTATATCAATCCAGACGGGTGGGATGGGGTGGGAGATAGGAGGGAGGTTCAAAAGGGAGGGTATATATGTGTATCCATGGCTAATTCATGTTGAGGTTTGACAGAAAACAACAAAATTCTATAAAGCAATTATCCTTCAATAAAAAAATAAATTAAAAAGAAAAAATAATGCTTTGTACACTTAATTTATTATTAGGGAAAAGTTCATGCTAAATGTTCTTACCACAATAAAACTTTAAAAGTTTAATTTAATTTTAAAAATCATGCTGTGGGAGCAGTGAGGATTTAGAGGGAGAATCAATGTGGGTCCAGAAAAAGTAGTATATTTTCATAAAAAGCTTATTCATGTGACTTGGTTGAAAACAATTACTTACCATCTTGTTGGGAGTCATCTGCATTGGTGAGGACAGTGAGTCCTATTAAGTAGAACACTTCAGCATTATTCCTGCCACCACCTGTTCCACAGTCATGGTCATTTTTATCTAAAGATTAAAGTATCTGTTCAGAAAGAAAATCATTCCCTCAAAAACAATATTCAGTGGCTATTATGGGAAACAATTGACTTACGGATACTGTTCATTTCAAGCCATTCACTGACTGAATATTAAAATCTAATTTGCCAGTTTTCCCAGCCTTTCCTGATCTCCCTAGTTTTCACCTCATATGTCTACAGATACATGCTGTTCAACAGCTAAGCCTTTAGACATATAACACTGATAAGGAAGTTCCTAGAAAACAATTTACACTCTCCTTTCTTAGAGCTTTATGTAATGCATTAACTAATAAGATATCCTTTGAGCAGTTGATTGAATGAATGAATAAATAAATACTGACTACCCCTCATGGTCCTTACCAGCTCTAGTTTATAAATTCTGAATCAGATGACACCCTCTATTTTATTGTTCCACTCAGGATAGAGCAAAGCACAGAGGGGATAAGAATACTCAATGACTTATTTTTGATGAGAAGGGTTGACTCCTCATCAAAATTTCTGACTATGACCTGTGGCACCCAAAATAAGTTATTATGGGTTATTAGGGGATAGGAGGGGGGGAGGGCAGGCGAGCAAAGAGAGATTCATGGCTGCAGCTTTCATGGGTAACCATATAGTTTCCCAAACCATGCCCCTATATTTTCTGCTCCCTTATTTATCACTTTTCCAATTAATTAATACACTCAACTCACCAGAACTCTAGTATTTTCAGTCATATGACTTGCCTGGAGTGAGCAAGAAACTTTAATTTTATGCATTAGCTTAAAAGGTACCCTCTCCCAAAAGTCAGTAAGGTTATTGCTTATTCCAACGAGTGGCTTAATATACACGATGGTGTCATCAGTCACTGAAAGGAAGATAGTTTGGGATTGGCTGCCCTCGAGAGTTTGTTGCTGAATGTAGACTGAATTATGTTTTAATTTATTCCCAGAGAAAACTGCATTTTAGCATTTCATTGAGGCTATTCCCAAATATGTGTTCATCTGATACAAAATAATTAGCGAGTAATTTGACTGGACAGTTACCCTTTGTATACCTAAAAGGATAACTAAAGGGGTTAACTAACCAACCAAGTTCATTTGATTCTACTCTATGCAGAGATTCTATTCTGGTCCTAAGAACCTAATGTCTCTTAGTTTTCCATTATCAGTAACATAAGAACTCTACTAGTAAGAGCTTAATGCATTTTAAATATCTTTATTATTGCTATGTCTCTGACAGGATTGTTGTGAATACTCAATATGATAATAGGTTTAAAGGTCTTATGATGATATTCAGCATATAGTAAATGTTCAGTAAATGTCAGCTGTTGGTGTTGTTATGCTTAAATCTAGCTTAGGAGACAGACATTGATATAGTCACATCTTATTTTATTCTTCTCCCATGATTAACCCATAGAACTATGAGAGAACCATAATGGCCATTTGGCCCCAAGTCATGCCAAGCATCAGTTACCACAGCATTTACCCTGCTTAACTCTTCCTATATGATTTTTGCTTCTTTCCTGGAAGCCATAAACATCACTTCTCACTGATGACAATGCTACCCATGATTCTGACTGAGTTTCCATAATAAGAGATATAGCTTCATCTGGAGAATATATATCTTTATTTGGAGACAGATAGATCTAAAATTAATTGGAAAAGAAAGTATCTTAGTATGAAATTAAACAGTCATTCAAGAGGAACTCCGGCTGGGGAGAGTATCTGTGGTTCACTTGAAGCTGGTCACCACAGTTTTCTTCATTGTTTAGGCAGAGTGAGTCAGACACTAATCCTGCCATCTGCTTTCCTGTGACAAGATAGTAGACTAGTACACAGGCTGTGGGAACCATGTGTTGAGTCACGGAAAGGTTTAGAAGTTGGTAAGATGAACCTGGGAGTTTCCTCTCTGTGCCAAAGTGTACAATTCTGCCCTTAGATGAAATCTAAAAATACACAGCAACAAATGTGCATCAGAGTGGGTCTAATGCTGAGCTAGTAATTAGGAAGGAGATAAAACTGAAGAGAATTAATGTTCATCAAGCATCTTCTATATGTTAGGTACACGTACTTGAACACATTCAATCCTCACAATTGTATATTGTGGCTTTATTAATCCCACCTAGTAGTTACAGAAATTGAAGCTCATAGATGTAAACTGTCCCATTAGTTTAAAAGGTACCTCTCCAGAATCAATTGCTTATTCCAACAAATGGGTTAGTAAACAAGATGTTATCAGTTACTGAAAGAAAGACAGTTTGGAATTGTTTGTAGTCAAAGGTTTGCTTCTAAACGTGGATTTATCAAGGCAGGAACCTTGATCTTGTTGACTCAAAGCTCATGCCTTTTCCAACATATCATGTTGCCATCCTTGCTAGTATATATTTTGAAAATCTATGAAAAATGCTTGGAATCACTATATCTGTCCTTGAGCATAGGACTTAAACTCTTCCCTTTGTAAACATGGTATGTTCTTAAGGAATGTTGGCAAGGCTCAGCAGTCCAATGCTTGGTAATGCTCTGCTTGGCCATAAAACATTGCTGAGGTCACTGACTAGTCTGGGGACTGAATGCAGGCTGTGATCAAACCCAGGGCATTGTGCCATGGAAGGAATATTTGTCTAGGAGTCAGAAGATCTTGAAGGAAATCCTAAACCTACTAACTACTTGTGAATATGGCAGGTCACTCAACCCCTCCAGGCTGTTTCACTGTCTGCTGAGCTCAAAAAGGTGTTATGAGACTCTGCAGAGAAGACGTTTGTGAATGTGCTCTATGGACTACAAAGTGTGATTTAAGTTCATCCATTCATTTGCTAAATGTCCACTGGATACTGCTCTGTGCTGGGGCTTCCCTGGTGGCTCAGCAGTAAAGAATCCACCTGACAATGCAGGAGAGGAGGTTCAATCCCCGGGTCGGGAAGATCCCCTGGAGAAGGAAATAGCGATCCACTCCAGTATTCTTGCCTGGGAAACCCTGTGGGGAGAGGAGCCTGGACGACTACAGTCCAGAAGGTCAAAAAGAGTTGGACACAACTTAGCAACTAAATGACAAAAACAAGTGCTTTGTGTCAGGTAGGGAATCATTTAAAGGAGTATTTGCATAAGCAAAGAAAATGTTGCAAGTAGGGGCCTAGATGCGAGTCAGGTATTGGACTTACCACATAACTGTCGTGTGTGATCTTGACAACATACGGACTTTTAGGGGTAACCATTACACTGAGATGTTCTCCCAGAAGCAAACTCTTGTAACCATCTGCCCAGCAAAGCGAAAGGAAACTTTGGCTGCGTGATGAGTAGGCTACTGCTTGATAGTCATTGCTGGCCTGATATTCTTCTGGAAGGTCTGAGTCATCAGTTCTAACCTACAGAAGATAGTGTCAAAAAAATGTACAACCGGATACTTTACTTTGCCCTGCTAATAATGATGATGGTGGTTGCAGTGGTGGTGGTGGTAATTGTTAGCGCTTGGCTAGCATTCACTTAGTGCCAGGTCTGGGTCTGTTGAAAGCGTTTTACGAAAAGGTAAATTAGCATTCCATGGCCTTAATCATGATAAGCTATGTTGTCAAGCAACTAGAGAAAGGCTACTGATTTTAAGAAATAATAAAATTATATGTGAATGTCTAGCCTAATTGCGGAAGAGTCCAGTGAAGTAAAATAGAGGAAAGATCCCAGGGGCCTCCCTGCTGGCCCAGTGGTTAAGAAATCTGCCTTGCGATGCAGGGGAAGCTGATTTGACCGCTGGCTGGGGAGCTACGATCCTACATGGAGTGGAGCAACTAAGCCCGTGCGGCAACTACGAGCCCACATGCTCCCGAGTCAGCCTATGTGCCCCAGCCACTGAAGCCTGCGCGCCCTGGAGCCCACACGCTGCCCACACGCCACAAGTAGAAAGTCCATCTCCACAACGAAAGAGTCACACGATGCAATGAAGATTCCATGTGCTGCAACTAAGGCCCGACACAGCCAAAATAAATAAATAAAATAAACATTTTTTTTTTTAAAAGAGAGAGAGAAAAGATCCTAGACCTAGGGTTGACCTTCTTTCTTAAATGACATGCCAACTTGTTGACTCATTTCCTTCTGCCATAGGCTAGTAGGAATTAGGAATTTGAGGAGAAGGTAAATGTGGCTAGGAATGTGGCAATTGCTCTTAAAAGTTAATAGAAATGTTGGTTGTGAGTGGGAATAGTGGTGAATAATCTCACTACTTCTCAGGAAAGGAACAGGGAGAAGAATCTAGGACAGTTAACATCTGCTCATGATGGCAAAGTACAGTGTAGTAGGGAACTCATAAATACAAGAGTTACGCTGTGCCAGCTCCTGAACAAGAGACTGGAACCATCTGTGTTTTTCTTGAAGCTGAAAACTTTGGTATTGTTTGCTAGTGAAGGTAATATGACAACTAGTGAACAAAACAAAGAAAACACAGTTCATGCCGTCAGAGTAAAGGGAGACTAGGACACTTGGCTCTTGTGTAGGTTTGGAAAGAGAAATATGCATTTAGTCAGTCAATATTTTATGTTCCCTAATGTATGTCAGGAGCTATGCTAGTTGCTGGGGACACAAAGATGAACAAGACAAACACAGCTCTTGCCCTCAAGAAACTTGAAAGCCTTGAGACTTTCGTGGAGTAAGAATACCTCCCTTGATCAGCAGAGGGTAGTTAGAGAAGGCTCCTTGGAGGATATGATTTAATAGCTGACCCCCAAATATGTAGGAGTTAGAGAATCAGAACTGGGAAGGAGAGTCTAAGGTGGGTTAAAAGGCCTTGTGGCAAGAGGCAGTAGAACATTAGGGAGCTACAAACTGTCCAGGGTAGCTGGGGTTTGAGGTATTACAGAAAGAGTGGTGACTAATGAGTTTGGAGAGGGGAGCAAGGACAAGATCAGTTGAGATGAGATTTGTGCCAGAGAAATCACTCCATTCCCTTGCCCAGTGAGGACAGGGACTGGGAGGAGGGTGAGGAACTGGCTGGCTGTGGGACCATTCACTGAGACAGGGCAGGAGGAGGAGGTCCAGGTTTGAGGTTGGCAGGTAGGACTCGATTTTGGACAAAGCGATGTGTATGCTTCTTCAAAAGAGCAAGAAAAAGATGTGAAGAGGCAGTTCTGTAAGAATCTTGAGTGTTTAGGATGAGTCTTCAGTATAAGCTATGGGAACCATAGAGAAAAATGTCATGTAGGAAGAGAGGAGAGTCTGAATAGAACCCTGAGGATCACCCTCAGTTAGAGGGCAAGTTAGGGATTACGGCTTCAAAATGGAGACTATAAAGAAGAGAACAAAGAAGAAAAATAAAAAGCAAGGAAATGTGGAGTCACAGGGGCCACACCAAATTATACACAGTGCCCCCCAAAAGAGAATGTAGGTTATTCTTTAGTAGACTTAGCGTATGAATTGTGAATTGAAGGAGACATGGCAATAGCTGGAAATAATGGATGGGAGAAGACTCTATTTGTATGCTTGTATTCCACTGGCAATTCTCACTCTAAATTGTCCAGATTTGAATAGCACTATTTAGCATAAGAAGAAAGAAACTATTTCTAAAATATAAAATTGACAAACTCATATCCTTTATGTGATACTCAGTACATTAAGTTGTATTTCTTGTGCCCGCAAGTCAAAAGTTTCAGAGAAATTCACTAGACTTACACATAAAATTTCCCTCATCTTTTGTGTATACTAGCTACCACACAGACTGAAGGGCTATTAGAAAATGCAACGAGTGAGAATTTGGCTCGCGTGAAACTCCAGAGCTGCCACATCAGAGGGAATATTAACCATAAACGAAGCCACTCCATCAATATAATTTGTTGTGCTTTTTCTTGGAACCAGATCTGTCTTCTTCTGAGTTTTATCCCACTGTTCTTGCTTTCAGGGTTACTGTAATCCCTCCTACGAAATGGGTGAATGCATCCCTCACCTGGACCTATTGGGCCAAATTCATCTCAGTAGTTAATGTTGAGCCTTTTACAACAGGAAAACCTAGACTATGCCCCAAGCAAGACGTTGGCAGAATTTAGTTCAGTAGTCAAATGTGTTTCTCTTAAGTTGGTACTTTAACCACTCCAGAGATATATAATATGAATTACATTCAATTCAATGTATAGATATTGCTTTTTAAATAAGAACACGACACTGTGCTATGTGCTTATATGTAAGCTGTGTGCCTGTGTGTGTGTACGTGTGTGTGCCGCGCACGTTCAATCATGCCACTGACTGGGTGAAATCATTACCGTGTCTAGATTGCTGTTTTTCATCACGGACTTGGTGATTGGCTTGTACTATTCCTCACCCCCACAGTGAACACCCTTATGGTCTGTTCAACATAATAGATTTTATAATCATCTAACCTTTATGGAATATGAAATTCCAGGTTTCAGGAGGAGAGAAGTAGCAACCAGATCCAGTGTGTAAGGACAGAGGACATATTTGACATCAGTTAGTTTGGTTTATTGGAAGAGTCTACCTAATGGAACAATAGGTTGATCAAGCCGAGAGTTTGACAAACACAATGTAGTCCATTAATCTGCGCAGGAGCCCACTCTCTTCTTTTCTATTTCTTAATTTGCATAAGGACATGCCATTTGTCAAACCCTTGGTCATTTCACGTGCAATTGTGCATCTAAGTTCAGATTATTGCTATGGTTCCCCTGAAAGACTCTGGTCATTCCATGAGCCAGTAAAGTGCAGTTTGCATGAGGTTGGTGAGATGCTCATTCATCAATTCCAACTACAGTATCCTGCTGCAGGGGCTTCTCTGGTAGCTCATCTGGTAAAGAATCCGCCTGCAATGCAGGAGACCCCGGTTCGATTCCTGGGTTGGGAAGATCCTCTGGAGAAGGGATAGGCTACCCACCCCAGTATTCTTGGGTTTCCCTGGTGGCTCAGCTGGTAAAGAATCTGCCTGCAATGAAGGAGACCTGGGTTCAATCCCTGGGTCAGGAAGATCCTCTGGAGAAGGGATAGGCTACCCACTCCAGTAATCTTGTCTGGAGAATCCCCACGGACAGAGGAGCCTGGTGTGCTGTGGTCCATGGTGTTGCAAAGAGTCGAACACAGCTGAGTGACTAAGCCTAGCACATCCTGCTCCAGACTATTAATCAGATCATTCGTACCTCCTCCCTCCCTTTTTTTTTCAAGTAACGGAGCAGAATGTCAATAATCCTGTGAGAAGAGACACTCACTTGTGAAACAGTTGGTTATCATTTCCGAGGCAACATTCAAAAATTTACCAGGTAGTGTGGTAGAAAATATGTGTTACATATTTAATAATATGTAAGCAAACACTCAAATGACTCAGGAATGCTTTCATATGTGAATAATTGTGATATATCATTTGTTTGTTGCAAGCAAAATTGTCTGGTACCAGCATTAGCTGTTCTTTTCAATGACTTAAAAGGCTATCCTTTACATGTGGGAGTAGGGGATTATCACTGCAGAAAGATGTCTTTCATGAGCATTTCCCCTGCACAGAGCTGGTGGATAGTAGTTTGGTAGAACATATCTGGTAACTGTATTTGTCCAACAATCCACCAATAATAAGTTGCAGATTTCTATCTGAACTATGGAAAAAGAAAGAAATGTGAGAAAAGAATTTATAGATCAGTTTGGAACTCACCTGTACTTTCTTGGACTTCCACAAAAATATTACGATGCTTGTTATTTAAATCTTTTAGGCTTTTATATGGTAGTTTTTCAATTGCTTCTGATGTGTTAAAAATGCTTTGTGCAACTCCATCAATCAACTGGTTTTGAAAGGAGGACAAAAATGTAGAAGATACAGTATTAGAGAATAATTTGCTGCTGCTGCTGCTCCTGCTGCTGCTGCGTCGCTTCAGTCGTGTCCAACTCTGTGCGACCCCATAGATGGCAGCCCACCAGGCTCCCCCGTCCCTGGGATTCTCCAGCAAGAGTACTGGAGTACTGGGTTGCCATTTCCTTCTCCAATGCATGAAAGTGAAAAGTGAAAGTCAAGTCGCTCAGTCATGTCCGACTCTTTGCGACCCCATGGACTGCAGCCCACCAGGCTCCTCCAGTCCACGGGATTTTCCAGGCAAGAGTACTGGAGTGGGGTGCCATTGCCTTCTCTAATTCACTGCGAGGGATTAACAAATAGGCTTTCGTCAGCCTGTAAAATCTTCACTTGACAATGACATTATAGTTACAGCTAGTGGTAATACAAAGCATAAGCTTGATTCTATAGCATACATATTTTTTAAAGTTATTTATTTTTAACTGAAGGAAAACTGTGTTACAACATTGCTTTGGTTTCCGCCATACATCAACATCTATGGCATATATTTTTAACAGATTAATATTTAGGTCATTTCTTTTAAGCTTGAAGCCTCTCCAGTCATGGAGAAATAACCCTGGGTGGGGCTGAAAATCTCTGATCCAAAACCTCGTCTCATCCTGTTCAGAAACTGAGGCTATAATTTGCAGTCTCTATCTGATGGAAGCTCATCTCAGGTCCAGAATACCATGTCTGCAAAGGGAGAAAACTGCCTCTGGGTGTAGGTTTTTGCAAACTCAAGCCTCAAAATGGAAGACAAACATCACTGCAAATTTTCTAGTTTCTAGAACTTTCCAAAGTCCCAAGTATTAGTGGTTTTGTTATGTTCTGTTTGGTGCTGTGAACTCTTGGGGGTGAAAGCTCATTTTTAATATCTACATTGTGATGAATTGACCCCCAGTTTTCCATTTGTATAAAGGTAACTTGATTTCTTCTTTACCTTTGTTTTCTGTGTTGCTTCAAGCATCATTTCTTTTCTGCTGTCATTTAAATTTTCTCTTATCCCAAAAGAAACAGAAACTTTAGCTTCAGTTACATTCTTATTGTAAGAATACCTGTTTTAAAAGAATACAATTACCCCCTTTTTTGATAATGAGACATAGATGTATTTTTATTCCTATTACAAATGAGGAAATTGAATCACAGAGGTATAAAAAAGCTTACTCAAACTTCCCACAGTTTTTAGGTTCAGGCAAGTTAGTGGAGAAATGAACTAGAACCCAGGTCTCCTATTTGTGAGAGGCCACACTTCTTCCACACACCATAGCAGGTGTGTCTCCCAAGTGATACTTTTAGCAAAAGGGGCAACATCTTCCTAACGTGTACTGGAGCTGTTATTTTTATTTTAGCCTCATATTTTTCCTTTGAGTCAAAGAAAAACATTAACTTTCCTTATTTAAATATTAAACAGGCAAGCCAGTGCTCCCATGAACTTATCTGCCAAGTGTGATTTCTGGGCCTATTTGATCAATTCCATAGCCACTTTTCTTAGTTAAGTTTACGATCAATTAACATTAACAAATAAGAAGTGAATACTTTCATATCATATTTTTTAATAGCTAAACAGTTACAGTCACCTAAGCAGCCACCATGATATTTCAATCTTCAGGATTCTTTGCTTGTAAGGTTGTTAAACAACAGTAAGTCTGGAATCAGCCAATGCCCTTCAGGCAAATCTCCTTGAACCCACTTCCCACAGCCATGGCAGATGCTATTTTCTAGGCAAGAGTACTGGAGTGGGTTGCCATTTCCTTCTCCAGAGGATCTTCCTGACCCGGGGATCGAATCTGGGTCTCCTGCATTGCAGGCAGATACTTTACCATCTGAGCCAGCAGGGAATCCCCCATAATTGTCCAAACACATGGATATTATCTCCACTTTATTATCAGAAAAACGAGGCCCAGAGAGGTAAAGTAGCTTGCCCAGGAACACACAGCTTAAAGGTGGTAGAGCTGGGATTTAAACTTGGTCATTCCGGTTCCAAAGCTCTTGCCCACAACTCTATGCTTAGATGACTCTGACAGCAGTTTCAGATTTATGCACCATGTAATTAATATACCATATTTGAAAAATGTTTTAAAATCATAAAATCATAAACAAAACATTTTCATTTTAAGAAAAGTTGCATGCATACTGAAATGTAGGTTATTAACGTATTTTTTAGGATACTGTGTTACATGTTGAGCTAGAAAATATTTTTCACTTAATGGCATTGATTACAGTTAGTGAAGCAATCTTAAAGTTCAATCATATTAATAGATATACTATGTAGTATACTAGAAAATCAAGGCATCATTTCTAGGACTTTTCAATCTGGTTAAACTTATCAAAATAATATAACTGTATAGCTTTGGAAATTTTACAATTTAAGGCCAGTGTTTGAGTGGCAGCATTATATTATAGAAGGAAAGAGTAAGGATGAATCTGGTCATTGGTGAAATCTGGGTTTCCATTTCGGCTCCACCATTAAAGGCTGTGTGGTTGAATAAGCTTATACATTTCTCTGAGCCTAAATTTCCTTATATTGAAACGAGGAATGATATAGGACTTAGCAAAGTGCTTGGCACATAACAGGAGATCCATAAATGTCACTTCCCTTACTGCTTTGAAGTGTTACATTTTTAAGGCATTACACAATATAAAAGCCTCAAATCACATCTCAGAATATCATCCAAGTTCTAAGAATAAATGTCAGAGAAAATTCCAAAGCATCTATGTAATATTAAACACTGCTAGCAGACATCTTCCATTTGCACATATTTTCCTCTTTTGTATTTCATGCTCAACATTTTAGGGGCACGATCTATCTGCCACAGTGTCTGGTACCTGGACTTTGCTGCGGAAGGTGCTCACTAAATTGAATAAACAGACCAGCATGGTGCTTACAGCTGGCAGTTATTGTATCAGTACCCGCCCCCATCTCAATGCAGAAGGGTCCCAGCAGGTGCCACCTTCCATTAGGTAGGAAGGACATTCACTGACATGTTAAGAGTAACCAAAACATCAGCATCTTTCAGCCGCATGTTGATGGCTCCATCAGACTGTTCAATAACTCAGTTACCTTCACTGCTTTTAAGAGAAACAACTGCACCAACAAATCATTTAAAATACTTAGGATTAGATGGAATCTTGAAGTCAGGAAAACTGATAATTCCAGTAAAAATTTTTTTTTTCTGGTCTCAGTAACTTCTGACTCTTCTGGATCCTTTGAATGAAAAGGAAAAACGTTTCATTTTTTAAAACAATCTTTAAGTACAGAAGTCACGCATTGAGCATAATATGTAATTGGTGGTTCTGGTAGAAATAGTCACTAAGCTCTATGAAACTTTGCTGAAACTAAGCCCATATGGTGTTTATGTGGATTTGAGGCGATGGCTATCAACTGGTCAAGCTTGTTAACAAAGACAAATGTCTAAGGCAGAAAGGTACATTTTCAACAGACAAAAGAAGTACAGTAGATATTTAGAATAAACTCCCAGTGAGGTTCTTTTCCACCATGCTTCTTCTTGAACAGGACCTCCAGGATAATTTTCAAACACTGTTTACACAATGTCATGCCATGCCCGAAAGACTTCCCGGGCTCCCTTTTGTCTTCAAGATCACTTTGGGACAATGCCACAGCAATGGCCTCTGACCTGTCCAATGTCTTCTCTCCGTGGGGAATTCTAACAAGGGAACAATGGGTTCCGTGGGGCCATTTATCTCTATGGCAAGTTCACCTGAACCTGCTGTCCCCTCCAAGAACTTCCACAATGTAAAATAATCCACCAAAACTGCCCCTGATTCTCCTGGGAGTTTCCAGGCCTGGCAGCCACCAGTCCACTCACTGCCATGATCATCTCCATACCTTGCTTCTTCCTGGCTCCAACCTCTGTGCCTTTAACGTGTGACCCAAAACGTGGTCCAACTTCTCTCTATCAAACCCTCTCTATGGTTTAAAGACCTCTCTTGGTCTTGAAGACCAAACTCAGGACCTGCTCTCATCCTTTCATAATTCCCTCCAGAGTAATCTAATAATTATCTCCAGCACTTCCTTCCTTTCGGGCTGATCTGCTTTTGGTCCTACATCATCCCCTACTTGGCTTACTGTGTTATGTGTGCTTATTTGCCCTTCTGAACTCAAATGCTTATGACGGACACATCCCATAATCCCCCAAATAAATCAAGAAAGGCTAAGTGTGGAAGCTCTGGAGAAAGACAGACCTGGATTTGAAGCCTGGTTGAGCTAATAATTATGAGTATAACCTCAGTGGCTACTTAATTTCTCTAAGTCTCAGTCTTTTTGTCTATAAACAGGAGATAATTATATTGATCCTACAAGGTTGTCATGATGATATAACGCACACCATGCACTTCTCACTGGTCCCACAATTATACTGCTACAATCCTCACCACATCTGCCCATGCTTCACAAACAACAAGAGGATATGAACTAATATGACTCACTTCATAAAGAACGCCACCAAAATGGGGTCATCAAAATGAATTTCAACTAACATTAAATTTACACACAAAAAAGTCAGTCAGGATAACAGAAGTGTAAAATTACCATGTTGTACCCACAATAGATGCTAAATATATACTTCCTGCTATTCAATAATGGATAATTTAATGCCATATTTTACTGTATTATAATAATGAAAGCTATTCATATAATGAAAGTGCCATAGTTAAATTTTGATTTAAATTAGTGGCATACTTACTATAAAAGTTAAGATAACTTCTTTTTGCAATGGTTTTAGGTCTTCATCCAATGAATAAACTCTAACTTTTACTGTAAGAAAAAAATTGTCATTATTAGAAACTCTGTTCAACTCATAAGCTGACAACATTATTAATAATCCTACAATATGAGGGCCATGAAATTAAAAGTAAAGTTAAGAAAGTCCAAAACAGTAAATCCAAGTTTAAAGGGAAATATGAATCAGGATGTTGCACATGAACTGTAAAGTGGAAAAAATATTCTTGTCACCAAAAATTTCCTGGACAGGGTTCTTTTATAAATATTTCTCTTTTTGCATTTAAAATATTATTAAATTTATTAAAAAGTAGTTTTATACAACCCTTTGTATTTTTAACCACTGATAGATATGAAAGACTGCAGCTCACTGGTATTGGAATTAATTATAGAGTAGAGGAGAAAGAACATAAGCAGTAAGTTNGCCTGTGGACTGCAAGGAGATCCAACCAGTCCATCCTAAAGGAAATTAGTCCTGGGTGTTCATTGGAAGGAGTGACGCTGAAGCTGAAATTCCAGTACTTTGGCCACCTGATGCAAAGAACTGACTCAATGGAAAAGACCCTGATGCTGGGAAAGATTGAGGGCAGGAGGAGAAGGGGATGACAGAGGATGAGGTGGTTGGATGGCATTACCAACTCAATGGACATGAGTTTGAGTAAACTCTGGGAGTTGGTGATGGACAGGGAGGCCTGACGTGCTGTAGTCCATGGGGTCACAAAGAGTCGGACACGACTGAGCGACTGAACTGAACTGACTTGTGTTCTACTATTTTACCGAGTGACTGAGGCCCTTTCTTCCTGTACTTACTTTGTCCTATCAGATGTGAAAACTGCCACGTTCCTTTATCCCATCCTTAATGACCCTCTTACCTGTCTTCTGTTCTCAGCTAGAAAGCCACTGCTCAAGTAATAATCAATTAATTCAGTTAAATTGCTAGCTAGTGATTATTTCCCATTTTGAGTTAAAAACCTCTCTTCCCAAAAGAAGACTGAAATCATTTCGAACTGGAAACAAGGAGGCAGACATAGCTACGTGAACTTTGCAATATAGTTCACAGTTTTCAATGTTAATATGAAATTGAAATATTTTTATAGAGGAAGATAATATTGAGAATTAAAAATTAGATTTTGAAAAGTTAAACTTCAGCCTCTGTACTAAGTTCTATAATACATCATTTCATTTTTTTAAAACACTATTTTGAAAGGAGTCTTGGCATCATTCTAACAAAGGTCTTTCTACCCCCAAATTATACTCATATTTTGCTGATTCTTTGTTTTATAATTTAACCTTTAGTTTGTCAGATCTTTACTTTTGTGTATGGTGTAATTTGGAAATTAACTCCATTTTTTCACAACAAAATAAACCACTTGTCCTAATACCATTAATCAGGCCATCTCACTTTCCCCTCAGAAATTATAATTCTCTATTATTATACCTGACTGATCTGAATTGTAAATAGATTTGTCTGTCTGAATGACAAGAAATCCATTGTCATAGCGTAGTGGAATTTTTGCTGCTTTTGAAAAATAAGCAGATAAAACTTCTAAATATACATGTGAAATTGCATTTGGTTCTCCAGATAAGTCTCTTGGTTGTATCTGTTAAAAAATTAATGGACGAATATTATAAAATTGAGATGTTAAGATAATATAATTTACTATATTAATTATGAAACATGATTATATTAATCATATGTTATCAACTAACATCTAAATATAAATATATTAAGATAATAAAAACATATGTCTTTTAGGTATATATGAAAATGAGTTGTTATCTATATGCAACATATAAAAATTTTATATAATTAAACAGTAAATATATTTTTCTACAAACACCTCTGTATTTTAGTTTCTTATCAAATTTAGTTTGAAACAATCACTTTTAAACAGTTGACCCAGGGTAAATGTCTATTAAAAATGACAATCACTAAAGAATTCAATTTTTAATAGACAAGATAACCAAAAGTCATTAAGAAACATTAAAGAGCTCAAAAGTTGATCAGCAATGGATGAGAGGGAGAATGGGAGGATTCAGATATTAGATACCAGAAAATGGACTAAATCACTTATCACATGGTAGTATAAGTGAATAAAATATCTCTTACATTTATTTAGTTATACCTAGACTTTTATGGAAAATCAAAATCTTTCTTTTCATGATGATTTTCATGTCCATTGGTCACTATATAATTAGTAAGTAGCCCTCTTCAAGTACACTGCATATGATCAGTATATTTTATAGAAATAGAATTTTGACATTTTGTTTTTGAGCATCATTAGCAAATTTGTTTGGAAGAACATTTGCTTGATTCAAGTCCAAACAGAAAGTAGTAAAAGCCTATGATAGATACATATATTAGGGAAAAAATTAATTTTTCTAGAAAACCATGGGATTAGAATGTTAAATATAGTTTAGGAAAACAAATGTTCAAAGTGTTCTCTACTAACTTCTCTGAATTTTTAAGATCAAGTCAAACCTATTTTTTTGTCTCTATATATTAACATTTGTTTTCCTCCTAATAAATAATATTTAAGTATCTAAATTATCTCTTTCTAGTATTTATTGTGTAATTTTAAAACAAGTACATGTGTTGGTTGATTTGGTTTTCAACTCATGTTACCAAGTCTTTTCGCCTAATAACCTTTATCTGCTTCATTCAAACTTTTACGTTTTTCTACATTGCCCCCAAATCAGAAGCGGATTCTCTATTTAACATTTCCTGCTTACTTGCATGTAAAAGCATATGGCACTTATTTCTCACTAACTAGTGACCTCAATAGTGTGATGTATCCACATCTTTATCCACATATGTAAAAAGGATCAGTGCACCATCTACATATGGGTTTTATAAAGAAACATTTGGCATATAAAAAGCAACTATAAGAAGAATACATACAGTTAGGCTTGCAGAGCTTTGAAATTTATTTTCTGGAGATAAATTAACTTAGTCAGAAGAATATGTAAAACTTCTGTCAGGATAACTTTTAACAGCAGTGGTCACTGGAAATGATTTTGTGTCTCCATGAATTTGAATTACTACATTTTCAGAGGTTCCAACATAGAATACATCAGGTGCTGAGACAACATATCTGCTGAAACAGTTAAAATTATTTAATACAACATAATTTTTAATGTTTTTTTACTTAACTCAAATTAGCCATTTTTCTTACATTTAACAATATGTGTTTTACTTCTCAAAATTTTATTACCTGGGACACAGCCAGGACAGTGTCCTGAAAAGCAGCATTGCATCCTAAGGATGATATTTCAAAGAGGCAAATGGAAAGTATTTTAATCAGTTGCAGCCAGGGTACCACTTAACAGAGTCCTCTATAAGAAGTGAAAATAGGGATCATGCTTCTGTCTGGAGTTTTTAACCAAAACATCAGTTAGTAAATTACTCTTCCTCGGGGCACGGCAATAGTCTGGGAAAATACAGAGTACTAGAATACGAGTTATGCTAGCTCACAAAGTATTCATATTAAAAAGCAGGGAAATAACACTAAACAATAGAGAAAAGAAATTCACTTGGATTTCTCAGGATTAGAAAGTTAATTTCATGTGGCATTGATTGAATTCTGCTTTCTATAAAACTACAATCAAAACACATTGTAAATGAAAAGGGGATCCTTCACTTACATTTGCTCCTGTCCCCAACTTCTTCCCAAGTAGAAAAAAATACACTATGCTTAAAATGTCCATGGCTGGGTTAGGATTCAACTATTGACACAACCCTTCTTGAAACTGCCCTTTTTGTGCGTGAACTCAGTTTGAAGAATGTGGTTAAATAGGTCCTCAGGTTAACTATTAATATCCGATGGTGGGATCACTGAGAAGGAAACCTAAGAACTTAAACGATAACCTTTTAATGTCCACAGATAATTTTGGAATTCAAAGCAGAGAAACTTGTTTTGATGACTAAAACAGAAAAGATACCCAAATGGGAGTTTCTGGGAAAAATGTTTCAAAGACGGACACAGAAACAAAATATTTGGAGGCTGCTGTGGTCTTGAACACTTTCCTGATACAGTAGAAGCAATTGATGCCCTGGTCAGATCCCCTTTTCTGGGCCTGGTATATGCATGCTACAGATGCTGTGAATATTGGTAGCTTAAATTTTCTAAGTGCTCACTTCTCCAGGTATTACTAACTCACTTCAGCCACTGGAGACAGCTTGCCCAGAAATGTCTGGGAAGTTATATCCTCTTCCTGGGACTGGTCCACAGTTAAAATTGACCAGTTCTGGGGATAAAACAGACTACTCCCTTGACTCAAGGTGGGACAACCTTGTAGTACCTTTCATGCTACAGAGCCTCTCATGGGATCAGGTTGAAGCAAGATCTTGGTTGAAACCACATCTTTGCTTATCTTCTTTCCTGCCCTGTCTTGCTTCCCTCACTACTTAGAAATTTCTCTTAAGAAAAGTCTCGCCATAAACTACTTGCAGAGAGTATTCCCCAGTCTCAGGCTCTGCTTCTAGGAAACCATTCAAAATTTAATAAGCATGAAAGGGGACTATCTTCCTGGACTCTGTGTAGAAAGTCTTAGATATGGAAATGGTTCTGAGGCTTCCCTATAGTGAGACTGTTTGAATGTGCCCACAAGGCCTGTACTGATCCACTTTAGAGCAGATCTGAAATCCCAAGACAGTCTTCCCAAGTGCTGGGGTGTTTCCAAGAACTCTTTACTCTGGGATTAGAAATGACCCATCAGTGACCAGGATATGGGAAAGAAAACTGTGAAGCTCTTGTTGTCTTATTTTCCTCAAGGCTGCATTCAATTACCTATACAGATTCATCCTGAACTGTAAGTTTTCAGGTCATCAGGACGGCTGGTGGTTAGGATGATGGACTGTGTAGTTGCTTCTTCACTTGTCTGTTTTCCCTCCTAGATTACGGTTCTATGATGACAGGTAATGAGTCTAACATATACACACATGGGGATACACACAGAACTTATCACAGCACCTAAAAGGTACTTAGCCACTTAACAAATTGTTGCTAAATGAATGAACAAATGAATGGATCATCAGGTGCATTCAAGGAAGGTGATGTTTAAAGGGCAGCTGAGGGCTGGATTGTATACAGCCATGAATGTCACAGTAAGGTGTGTAGAATGGAAATTAAGGACATTTGAACTTGCTGCTCTGACACTGAGGATGTAGCCATCTTGTTGTGATATACTAGTATTCTTTATTTCGTGAAAAGAATAGACAGGTAGTACATGCTACACAAAGAATTAAGAAAATTGTTCTCTAAGGTAAAACACAAGCAGAAACTATTGAAAGTGTGAGATGTCAAACATTCATTCACAACAGCAACTTTAAAAAATGATCTACCAAGTCTACAAGCAATAAATGCTGGAGAGGGTGTGGAGAAAAGGGAACCCTCTTACACTGTTGGTGGGAATGCAAATTAGTACAGCCACTATGGAAAACAGTGTGGAGATTTCTTAAAAAGCTGGAAATAGAACTGCCATATGACCCAGCAATCCCACTTCTGGGCATACACACCAAGGAAACCAGATCTGAAAGAGACACGTGCACCCCAATGTTCATCGCAGCACTGTTTATAATAGCCAGGACATGGAAGCAACCTAGATGCCCATCAGCAGACGAATGGATGAGGAAGCTGTGGTACATATACACCATGGAATATTACTCAGCCATTAAAAAGAATTCATTTGAATCAGTTCTAATGAGATGGATGAAACTGGAGCCCATTATACAGAGCGAAGTAAGCCAGAAAGATAAAGACCATTACAGTATACTAACACATATATATGGAATTTAGAAAGATGGTAACGATAACCCTATATGCAAAACAGAAAAAGAGACTCAGATGTATAGAACAGACTTGTGGACTCTGGGAGAAGGCGAGGGTGGGATGTTTCAAGAGAACAGCATTGAAACATGTATATTATCTAGGGTGAAACAGATCACCAGCCCAGGTTGGGTGCATGAGACAAGTGCTCGGGCCTGGTGCACTGGGAAGACCCAGAGGGATCGGGTGGAGAGGGAGGTGGGAGGGGGGACCGGGATGGGGAATACATGTAAATCCATGGCTAATTCATATCAATGTATGACAAAAACTACTGTAATGATGTAAAGTAATTAGCCTCCAACTAATAAAAATAAATGGAAAAAAAATGATCTACCATAAAAGCATAAGATTTTGATAGTGTTTGTTAAGTAGGAGTCTCACTGCCATAAAGCAAGGCGTCATCATTTTGCTGGTAATTGTAATAATGGAATTGTATGAGTAGTGAATGAACATTCTCATGGAACTGATGCCGCTGACATATATGCTGTTGCAAGACCGTCTTCTAAACTGGGACCAGTAGGCTAGTATTTGAACCACTGAGTCCTGAACCATATCAAGCAGGAACAATGATAAGACAATTACTAAGCAAAAGTATACTAAAAAGATTTAATGTAAAGGATTTTCAGATTGCAACTGGTAAAACTGGTAAGTCCGGCATCAATTCAGTGCAGAACATCTTCACACCGAGAGTCAGAAACACTCTCAACTCTGGTGAGAGTGACTGCAGCTGTATTTTAATTTTTGGCCAATTGGCTCTGTAACTGAAGCCATGCAAAGGGAAAAACATTTTATTTCAAGGTCATATTTAATATATGCCAACTCTGCTCACACAAACTTCAAAACTTTGGTCACAAGAAGACAATGTGTTTCTTGTTTTGTATGCAGTCCCATGCATGGACTTAAACTATAACTAAGACGAAACAAACACAGTGACAAAGATATGGAGCCAAAAGAGCTTCTGGTCAAATTTCACACTATTTTCAGTACTATTTACACAGTACTGAAATAGGCCACAAACATTTGTCATTCCCTAATACTGAGGAGGGAGATTCCCCTCCTCCCCACTTGTGACAAATAAATAAAACTATGATAATAACAATGAACAAAAAAATGATAACAACTGAGGTTATCTCAGACTTCCTCAATCATAGCACTACTGACATCTGAGGCTGAATTACGTATTGTGGTGGTTGCCCTGTGCATTGTAGGCTCTTTAGCAGCATGCCTGATACCATTGGGTGTCAGTAGACCCTTCCCAGTCATGAAAACAAAGTGTCTCAGACATTACCAAAGTCCCCGGGGCAAAGTAACCCCGGGTTGGGAATCAGTGGGTTGCTGCTGTGTGGTTTAGTATTTAAGGGAGAATGAGGAAAGTACTTGCTTATGCTCCTATCAGAGATACAGAATTCAGCAGGCTCTTCACTTGAGCTGTTTGACTATTTTAAATTAACATTGCAAACTGTAATTCCCTCGACTTCCCTCATAAAGATATTACCTCAAATACCATCTCTCTAATGATGACTTCCAAATTGATATCTCTAGTGAGAAACTCTCCTTCTAAATGTTGGTTTGCTCCAGGGTTCTGGTCTTTCTTAAAATCTTTTCCTACATACATTTACTGACAGGCAATCTCATTTAATGGCATGGATTTCAATACCATCTCTGTACACCAATACAACTAAATTTCACTCCCTGTAGCCCTCTTCTACCTGCCTTACTCAAAACCTCCACTTGACTATCTGCTGCCTTACTTAAAATCTCTACTTGGCAATCTAATTAGCATCTTAAATTTAATACATCCCAACTGAACTTCTAAAGATCTCCTCTACCACAACAGAGCAAACAATGAAAAATTGTCAGATGTCAATTGAAAAAAGCCTCTAACATAAATTTGTTAACATAAAATTTCCCCCCAAAATTAAGGAGGGGAAAATCTTAGAGGAAATATAGCTTATGCAAAGTGAAGAAGACTATTACCCTTTCCACAAAACAAACAAGACGTAACATTCTTGTGAAGATATATTACATCCATGAAGCAAGAATAGGATACTCTTAAAAGGAACATTCAGAAACAAAATGAGCTCCTTGATATGAAAAACAGGACAGCACAAACAGAAAACTTTGGAAGATAAAGTAGAGTAAATCTTCCAAGAAAAAATTAAAGCAAAAAGACAAAGGGATGGTAAGTAAGAGAAATAAGGATAAGATGATTAGAGGACCACGTCAGGAGGTCTAGCATGAAAAATGGGAGCTCCAGAAAGAGGGAACAGAAAAGAATGGAGGGAACTTTCTTTTTTTTTGGAGGGAACTTTCATCAATAAAATAAAAAGAAAAAAATTTAAGAACAGAAGGACATAGTTGTTAGATTAGAAAAACCTTCCAAGCGCCAAGCAGAACAATGAATATATATTGATACCAAGGCACATCATTTGAAACTTTTGAGACACTGAGAACAGAAAAATAGATCCTACTAGTTTCCAGAGAGAGAGAGAGAAGGAAAGAGGTGACATATAAAGGAGTAGGAGTTGAAAGGATTAGGAGTTAGAATGGAGAAAGATTTGGGCTTTGCAGAAGAAGACAATGAAGTAATATCTTCAAAGTTCTAAAGGAAACTTATTTCTAATGTAGAAATCTATATTCAACCAAACTATCCATCAACTGTAAGAACAAAGACATTTTTAAAAATGCAAGATTTAGAAAAAAATTTTTCCTTCTGTAACCCTATGCAAATGTGCCACTACCAAAGAGAGGTAGAGAATGTGCTCTACCAAAATAAGAGAATAAACCAAGAGAATAGAGATATGGGATACACGTAATAGAAGGTCCAATGCAAGAGGGAGGCAAAAGGATTTCTCAGTAGG